CAAATGTTTTTTAGGTATAACTTAGCGACAAATGAATTAAAAGTGACAATATGTGTCATCTTTTATTGAAAATTCGAGTCTCTTCATAACAGGTTTTTCATAATTTGTTTTGTAAAGTGTCGAATTTTGAATACAACTCATTCATTTGTTCGCTAAATTATATCTAAAAAACATTTTTAAAATTTTTGAAAATATTTCTCATGCTTTTTCCCTACGAAACTTTGATTGAATTGCGCTCTATCTAAAAGACAATATTAAAAGTTAAAACTTGTAGAGAATTTTTTTTAATCAATTTGGAAGCATTTGAGCCCCTGGGATCAAAGATATTCGAAAATGTCTATATGAAGGACCACCCTAATATATATAATTAATAATAAATTAAGTACCCATATAATATCGTTAGTACCTATGACTTACGATGTTTATAACAAGCAATTATCTATTACCATATTTATTTTTAAACATTTAAAATATAATCCCATAAAGACATTAATTTACTGTATAGCAAACATCGACTTATTTGCAATGTCTGAAAAAAATCTATTAATAATTCTCAATGAAAAGATACATTGCCCTGTTCTTGGTCGTCCAAGTGACGTAAGGTCTTTTTAATAATAATAAAATGTGCTTCCTCATTATTTACATTTTGTGAGATAAAGACTTTAAAGACTTTTGACTTGATAATCTCCAATCAAAAAAATTACGTACGGTTTAATTAATTTTATTATTAATAGCAGTTTAGTCTCGACGTCACCGGTTTTAACTCAAAATTTGTAGACAGAGATTTATATTGTTGTTATTATAATTATTTATAAAATTCATTTGAAATTTTTTCATTAGTTTTTATGAATATTTCTAATTTAACGAGTTTATTGACCAAATTTTATTTCGAAAGAAAAGTTTGTTTTCGCCAAAAAATGTATTTGCTAATTTTATGTTTACTCGACGTTTCGACTCGAAGACCAAATTTCTAACTATTATATTCTTATATATAAAATTCTTCTGTACCGGTGTATGAATTCAAACTCCTCCTAAACGGGTATTTGAATTTTGATAAATCTTTTTGGAGTCTGTTGAGCGAAATGTTTAAGATGTGATGAATTATAAAACTACAGTAATATTGTAGAAGTAAATAGAAAAAAATGCAAAAAATCCGGGAACTCTGACATCTGCCAGAAATGTCGATTCACTTGAAATTTAGGTTAAATTTTGAGCCTGGGCAATATTATTACGATGTATGCATTCAAACTCCTCCTACACGGTTATTCGAACTTTGATAAATCTTTTTGGAGTTTGTTAAGGAGAATTATTAAAATGTCATGAATTATAAAACAATAGTTATATTGTAGAAACAAATGAAAAAAATTGCAAAAAACAACATATCATTGTTTGGCATTGAAAATATTTTGACACTTGAGAACTTTGTCACCTACCAGAAATTTCAATTCACTTATGAGCCTAGACAATATTAGAATGAATAAGAAAAGTGTAATATCTACATTATTATTGCCAAAAAGCAGCTGATAAGTGCCAGAAATTAAAATAATACAAAATACAGTATTTGTTTGGCAGATGAAATTACATAATTCAGATAGACAGATGTAGAAATATTAACGTACTTTACATTTTTATTTAAGGGCTGTAATATATACATATTGAATTAAAAAAATTGGGGAATTAACTTATTGATATCCATGTTTTAGTCATGGTCAACTATTTTTAGCTTAGAAGAATTGGAAATCCAAACAATTTATTGATTTACACACCTACAGGTCTGAAAAAGATCTGAAAATATTGTAGAAATGAATGGAAAAATTTCAAAAATATCATCATTATTTGGTATTGAAAACATTTTGACACCTGAAAATTCTGTCACCTACCAGAAATTTCACTTATGAGCCTAGACAATATTAGAATGAATAAGGAAAATGAAAAGTCTACATTATTATTGGCCTTAAGTCTGTCGGGTCAGCTAGTATATATACAAATATATATATATATATATATATATATATATATATATATTATCAATAAATATACTTGAGCCATACAAAGTTCTTCCCAGTTTTTATCTTCGGAACAAAACAACGGAATATAACACCGATAAATCAATTAAACAAGATATACAGGTCAAATATAATATAAACCATAATTTATTTAAAAGAAACAATTATTAGAGATATTTGTGGACGCTAATTAATTTTTCAACAAATCTATAACAAATAATAAAGTTTTTAATCGCTTTATTGCTATTTTTATAGAAATGCAATTCTAATAATACGTAGAAGTCGGTTGAAAAATGATTAAAATTTTTATGTACATTTTTTTTAAATAATGTATATTTAAGTAAAATTATTAAATATATATATATATATATACATATTAAAAATATATTACATTCATCTCTTATTGGGTATTATTCGAAAGGTAAATTTTTGCAGTTTTTTAATTCAAAATTTGTTTTAGTAATGTAAATGAGACCTTTAATTTTCAAGTATGAGTAAATGAAAATAATTTTCATAATAACGAATAATTATTAACAATTTTTTTACTATATTTATATTACAGAATACTAATTTTAAAAAAGTATTTATAAAAATCATTCTTACAACAATTTTGTAAGATTTTCCGTTTCCTGATTACATTATTATTTATTACTGAAATTTTAATCCTTAACAAATATACCTACGCGTAACAAATTTAATTCGTAAAATAAATAAGGTTATTAATAGAGTTAAAAATTAGAAAATCACTTTTCTTATCACCTTATCTTATAGTAAGTAACTACTGCTATTTTATGATGTCAAGTGATTAGTAATCGAAACTAATTCTGAAACGTATTTAAGATTGATCTAGTGTCTGTAAAAATAAAATGACTCAGGATAATAATTAATAGTTGAGCAGATGGACAAAAAAATCCAAAGTTTTAGTATAAAATTTGACCAAAATGAATCGTAATTTTCTCTATGTAGAAAATGCTTTAATGTTTACAGTATGAACAAAAAATACTAAAAAATTTGAACAAGCTTTGAAAATTTCTGTAATTAGAAAACAGTTAAATTGATTATTGTATTCAAATTTTTGTAGAAAATACACTTAAGAATTTATTTGGCAACCCAGTGGTTGTCCAAAAAATATATAATAAATATTATATAATGACCAGTGATTAACACACACGTTAATTGTCCCGAAAATATAAAAAAAATCACATTAAATTTATTCAAGTAAACTTCAAATTTATTCACATTAAATATATATCAAGTATCAAAAATCTTTGTTTTTTTGAAAAAATTACTGGAAAACACTATCTTTAATGTCACACATATATGACTGACATGGATCTATGTTAAAACATTTTTTTCATATTGTTGACATGGCTTTTGTAGAATGTCTTCGAACGTCGTTTTTTTTTTTAATTTTTTTATTCCTTTTTAAAATTAATAGGTATAAATTTAGCTGGTATCAGGTACATTTATGAAAATAATTGTAAAATTTTCAATTAGTTAATATTTGACTTTTAAATAACAAATCTGGAATTTATTCCAAGTTCAATAAATGTTCAAAATTATTTTTCAAAAAATCCTAATCAAAAAGTTTACTTCACATATTTTTAGTGAATAATAATGAATAGTGATCAGTATTAATATTTAATTTATAACTAAAATTAACTGATTTTCTAAATAAACTTTGTTTTGACCAATTTTAATTTCAAATTCAGAACTAGATAAATTTATTATTATAATAAATGTATTATTTTTGTCAGTAATTTATCAATAATTATTAATGCTTAAAATATAATAATAAATTCATACATAAATCTACACAAAAATAATTTGTTTTATAATTATGGAAAATGATACTAAAATTTTTAGAACTTACCTCCAAACATTTTGTATTTTTTTAAAATTTCACTATATTTAAAATATTTTTCACTTTTGACACACTATTAATATATAAACAATCAATCTTCCAAATATTTTCATCAACATTTAAGTTCTCGATTTTTGCGATTTATTCTGTATATTTATATGTATTTATTATTTATGATTGTTTAATAATTTGATAGAAATAAATAATTTATATAATTAATAACAATTGTCATGGTTGTTTGCAGAACAATCATTGACTTCAAACTGTCTCTTCAACTAATAAAGAAATTATTCTTATCAATCACAAGTACTAAATAAATATACAAATGTATATATATATATATATATATATATATATATATATATATATATATAATCACCTATCTATCACTATTAAATCACAAATTCTGATTAAATTTTTATGACATTTAATAGTTCTTTTAAATACATTTTTAGTTACTATTGGAATTACATATAGTGCCTTACATGTTCATTCAAAACAAAAAAAAAATAATATTTTTAATAAATATTTTAATATTGTTTATGTTTATCCTATGGAAAAATGCCGATTACAATTACCATTTCCTTATCTATGACTATTACAATTTCTCTAAAATTGAATTTCTGGCTGAAATTTGTGATAAACTAAAGATCATATTAGAAATAACTTTGAGATTAATTATATTAATTAAATTTTAATTAATTTATCACCACCATCTTCAGTGTTATTATTGTTTTAACGTAAGACACTGACTTAATGCAATAGTGTAAACTTGTTCGAACAAGCATACTTTATGTTTCTCCATTTGGACCCTATCTCAAAATCAGTACATTTTTGCTGATATGACGACTGTCACTACCCCACAACTACTTTTCCCTATTAAAACAAAAAATAAATGTCTTTTATAAGATTTTATTTATCCAATAATTTAATATTAGGTCACACTTTTAAAATTACATACATTAAAACTTGTACACAATTTTAAATTTAACTCAAGAAACTAAAATTACAAATTAAATTAGACGTACACAATTTTAAATTTAACATAAAAAACTAAGATTAAAATTTAATTTAAACGTACATAATTTAAAATTTAACAAAAACAAATACTATTTACTATCTCCTTCTACTTAGGCGGGATGTACGCCCCGTATTCCGCCAGTGGCGTCCGTTTGCTGCAGCTTTTTTGCTGCTGCGTCAACTTCGGAGACAAATTCTGCTGCCGAAATCGTTGGCTTGTTTTTGCAAGATTTGCGAAAAGTGTAGTAGACGACTAGGAGAATCGAAACTACTACGAAACAATCTGGTAAGAGGATAGATGACACATTTTTATTTGAGAATTATAAGTATAAAGCATAAAAATGTTATGGCAAGGCCATGTTACGCTCCAACTTCCATACATTATGCTACTGAATTATACTGACGAAATGTCATGTATTTGCTGTGCATTCAGGCTTCAGACACATAAACTGCAACGTCACTCGTATGTTATGAAGCTGGGTCAGAAAGACCCTGTTATCTAACATCGTTTTTTGGCATTTGTGCGGTTTCTAGGTTAGGTTTTCTATCTGATAACCTAAGAAATACGCCTGACTGCACAGCAACCACATGGCTTTTGTCAATATTTAGTATGGAAAGTTCTTCATAACATAGCCTTGCCATAACATCGGTCCATAAATTTCGATTTCGGTTGATCAAGTGATTTAGAGTGCATTTAGGGAAGTTAGGGAATTTTAACTAGTTATTATTATTATTATTACTAACCTATGATAATAGTCCTGAACCAATAAGAGTACTTCAACATTTCTTTCTCCTGAAGCTCTTTATGTCTTCTCGCCTGCTCCATTGCTGCAATAAATAATGCAATTTTTATTAAACAAATTATTCAACTTACTCAAACTTATATAGATAACTTAGCTGTAATCTTATATATAAAAATGGAGCTCTCGATAAAATGATCCGTTAAAACTCGAGAACGGTTAAACCGATTTGGCCAGACTTAAGTCTTGAAAAAGCTAATTAGTAGGTTGATGGAAAGGTGAGATAATATTTAAAATTCGCGTAGAAACTTTACATTTTCAGTTTGAAATTTTTTGTAGAAGCGTATTTGAATAAAGCAATAGACGGTGGCTAATACGTCAAATGTCAAATGTTTTTGACAGATGATGTTCAATTTCGTTTAATAGGATGTTTTACGTGAATATTATTTAAGTACGTAGTTATATTTAAACACAAAAACGCTATCAAACGAATCGCAAGTGTTACTAGAAACTCAAAATATCAACTTTTTTGAAATGTTAATATGAAAATGCACTTTTTGGCGTTGTAGCACTCTTTTTGTGCAAATCATATTTTTATATATAATATATCAAAGAATATACATCACAGCACATAACACATCAGACAACCAACTATCAGAATATGTCTAGAAAATTTAAAAAAAAAAAATAAAAAAAAACAAAAATGCGATTCTGTTATCAAGGCGGAATAGAGTGCATCATTGAGTGAAATATCCCATTCAGCATCGCCATATAGGAATTTATAGGATATCAGTATTTTTTACTTTTAGCAAAACCAAACAACATACATCGCAGCACAAAAAAATAGTGCAATTTTGTTTAAACAAAATATTCAACTAATTCAGATTTATATAAATTCTGATCAGATTTTATATAATTAACCCGATCACTCGACTGCTGTGTTATACACATATATGAAAATCTAAACAAAAATGGATTAATCTTATATCTTTTTATCAAAATGCATCATCGAGTGAAATATTCCCTTCAGCATTGCAATATAGGAGTATTTATTTGACTTTCAGTATGTATTCTGTGGAAATCAAATAAAATACACCGTAGCACATGATACATATCAGACAACCAATTATCGAATGTTTAGAAAGAAATATGTTTATTTGCTACTTTTTCTAAAAAAATCCATCTGTCCTTGTTTACCCCATATGGGGCAATACCCAATTTCTCATTTTTAATTACGAGAGGTTTCCTGGACTAAAAGTTCCATTATTTACCCAATGTCCAACACAAATTTAATTGGCACATTTTTACAATGATTGGAATAACTATGAATTTAATTTATTTTTTGTAAAATTCTAATCCCTTCTAACTTAATATACTTTTTTATTATCTTATTTTTTACATCGTTGCTAGTGTAAAGTTTCAGCTGGTCCTTTTTACCCCAACCATTTTAATTAAATTTGTATCTAGTGAATGAAATAGAAGCAATGTCATCAAGGAATTCAAAAAAATATTGATGGGAGGTGAAAAAAACTAAGTGTGAGTGTGTCCAACCCCTTCTACTTGGTTCCAATCAAAGTATGGAAAAACCTGTCCGGGAATGTTTTCCCAAATTTTCACTGCTATCAAATATATAGTTTATGATTACATAGCATACACACACAGTCAATTTTAATAAGAAAAAATCCAAACAAGAAATCTTACTAATTGTTGATATAATTTATCGATTATATTATACCTGCATATCCTGTGCCATGAATTATTCTATCAGATCTAGTTTCATCAAATGAGTCAGGATTATTCAAAATATCGGAATTAGAGCTGAACCAGGGTTTTCTGAGGCGATTGATAATATCAAAAAGACGACTGCCACGATTTTGTTCGGGGAAGTCAGAATCTTCTTCGTTTTCTGATCCTGGCGATAAGAAGAGAACAGTTTCCTGTTTCTTATCTGAAATGGTAAAAAAAATGAGTAAACTAGTGGTGTATGGCATCGTGCCTTAAGGCAAATTGCTGGAACTTCCCGTACCGTAATGAAATATTCGAAAAATTTTAAACGTTTTCAAATATATTATCACAAACACTGTAACTCTCATTATTTTTGCTATCTTGTTATATCTGAGTAAATCAAATGTACATCATAAATCAATTTATCTCCAGAACATTAACAACAATCGTCATTTCATTTCGAATTCAATTTAAAAAAAAATAGTTGCCTTAATTTACACAAAATTAAAAAAGTGCTTCCGTATAGTCACAGTCTAAACGCATTTGCAAATAATTCTAAGCGACATTTTCACTTATACTGTGCTTAGCTTGACGGTATTTTCACATTTTTCAATAGTTTTCACAAAATTGGAAAAGTTCTCCAGTACAAAAACAGTCTAAACGCACTTGGGTAAACATTTGTACTAGAGTGGCGCTTTGACTGTGCTTAGACTGGGTAAATTAATCCAATATTGCAAAAATATTTTATGAAAAATAAAAAAAGGTGTAATAATTTTTTATCCTCGAAATCAATTGTTTTGTCAATACAAGCAGAAAGTTTTTTAGATCATTCAAATCGGACACTCAGTTAACTCAAATACTGCCATTTTTTGCACATTCAGCTCTGTATCTTCGAAATGACGGGATCTGCCTTTGCCAAAAACTAATCACCTCTTTTCCCAATCATTACAAATTGAATGTTTTTTAGATCATTCAAATCCGATACTCCATTCTCTCACAAACTCGATTTGTATTTTCTGCACTCTTTGCTGCGTATCTCCGTAACGGCTGGACCTACCTCTGCCAAAAACTAATCAGCACATCTCCCTATCAATAGGGATCGAATGCTTTTTAAACCATTCAAATCGGTTGATCCGTGCGCCCGAAAACGGGGACGAAAAGATGCGGACATACAAAACACACACACATTCACACACATCCATTTTTTCTGAGATATGCCAAAATGTTCAGAAACCTTCAAAACGTCGAGAAATGCAAAATTATTTCATTTTTGATTTTTGGCCCATTACTATAATTACGGGAAGTTAATAAATAGACATTTTTACCGTTTCACTAACAAGCATAATATAGCGTTACCATGACAACGCTGGAAAACACAAAATTAGCAAATCGGATTTTCTGGCTAAAATACAACTTGTCCTTCGGAAAGTACATGAGTCATTATTACATTTTTATTATACATAATCATAAATATATTTTAATATTATTATTAATATTGTCTTCGGCTATAAGTGAATTCAAAAGTTTGGCAGATGACAGTTTTGATTTGTTTTCAAACGCCTCAAATATTTTCAATGTCATACAATGATAAGAGGTTTTTTGTAATTTTTTCGGTGTAAAGACTGTTTAAACGTAAGACACTGACTCCAAGCAATGATGGAAACTTGTTAGAACAAACATACTTCAACCTTTTCCCTTTGGACCTTATCTCAAAACCCGTACACTTCAGCTGTTATGACGAAGTTAACATATTATATAAATTCTTGATAGCTTTTAAGATAAAAATAGTTTATTAAATTCAAAAATTCCATTTTTAGGTCAAAATTATATGATATTTTATTAACTTCCCGTAGGGCAAGTTATAGTAATCGCAAAAAAATCGAAAATCAAATTTTTTATATATCTTTACGTTTCAAAGGTTTCTGAACATTTTGGCATACTTTAGAAAAAATGGATGTATGTGTGTGTGTGTATGTATGTATGTACGTGTGTGTATGTATGTGCGGATACAAATTTTCGTCGACGATTTCGGGAACACGGATCAACCGATTTGAATAATTCAAAAAACATTCGATTCGCATTGATAAGGAGACGTGCTGATTAGTTTTTGGCGAAGGCAGGTCTAGCCGTTCCGAAGATACGGGGCAAAAAATGACGAAAACGGCAACTCAGTTTTTAAGAGAACGGAGCGTCCGATTTGAATTTTTCAAAAAACATTTTACTTGTATCAAATTTTCATGAAGGCAGGTCTAGCGGTTTCGGAGATCTAATGATAAAAGTAAAAAAAAGCCATTTGGCGGTCAAAAATGATCATTAGACATATGCACATTAAATTATCAGGTATTTCATAGAGATTTTAACAATAAGTATAAAAATTTTTTATATTTCTATGGGTTCCGTACCAATGCTTATCCGTTAGACGGCGGCGCGGCACTTGCGCGCTTTGACATTTCGTCTCTATGCAGATAAAGCAGTACGATTGCTTTGAAAAACAGTTCAGAATTTCCAAAAAATGTCAAAATGAAGAAAACATTTTTCTTTTCAAAAAAAAAATTGTTTTCAAAAAAAGTCAAATTTATAGTTTCTCAAAAATCTAATTTTTTGAAGTAAACCATTTTAAAAAATGTTACCGTTTTTAAAAAAATAATAATTTTTGGTACGCGAAGTTTCAGCAATTTGCCTCAAGGCACGATGCCTTAATTGCCTGAAGACAGAATTCCACTTACAGCTAGTTTATATCAATATTACAACTTACCCAAATTGGAATCTGGTGTAGTAGCAAACATACCATCGTAAACATTGTCTCTAGATCGTGTGGCCCAAGGAAAATGATTAAAAGGGAAAATATCCTCAAAACGTGGCCTGCTGCAAATACACAACAAGAGTTACAATTTTACACCAAAATATATATACCACAATTTTATTTCACTCGCCTATTAAGAAAACCCAAAAATCCACTCCCAAAATTATTCTCTGGAGGTGCATCTGGTGGTGCAGAAGTCTGGAAAAGAAACAAAACTTCCTGGTCATCTGGTGCATGGGTTTCATCTTCATCACTATCCCTTTGTAGAAGGAAACTGGGTTCTTCAAAATCAGGTGGTTGTTGGCTGAGTGTTGGGAAGTGACGTTTTGGTCGAGATTGTAGCTTCAGTTGCTAAAAAACAGAAGAAAATTTAGATATATATATATATATATATATATATATATATATATCCACAAAGTCTAATAATCGGGCATAACATCAATAAAAAACATAAATCTTATATTTCATTCATCTTTCAAAAATTTATTTTAAATCCATATGTTTCCGCTATAATCATATTTATCATAAAGTATAAATATGCTCTGCTATCATAGTTTTAAATTGCTTCGGATTTCTTAGACATAAAACTTATACGTACTACGGATAACAAACTATTACCAAATTGGTACCAAAAACCAACTAACTCTGGACGTTACCTTAATTATTTTTCTTATTATCCACTCAAAATAAAAATAGGTACTATAATAAATCTAACTGACCACGCAATACCATACATTAAAGAATTGTATATTCCTTGGAAAAAACTTTTTTATAAATCTGGACCCCGACTTGTAAACAATTTTAGTACAACGACTAGTACTATTTTTACCAAAACAAAAACCCCTTTTAATATCGAAACGACTTAGAAATCTTGTTTATCAAATAAATTGTCTAGATTGTAATTTAATTTACATAGGAGAAACAAGCCAGAACTTAATGAAACGTTTACAACAACATAAAAATAATTAAAAAAATTCGAAGCAATTTAAAACTATGATAGCAGAGCATATTTATACTTTAAAACACAGTATGGACTTTTCTAACCCAACTTAAAAATCTGAATTATCTTCTATGTTTGTGTATAAGCTAGAAATGCCATTTATAATATAAAAATCTAGAAGGTCTGGGTGTTTGTTTCTGTCCGTAGGCCAATAAGTTGGTCTTCCAGTCGATAAGAATGAATAATTTTTCGGTATTTTGGTATTTTTTCATTTTAAAACCGGAATACCGGTAAATTACTGGTATTTTTATTATCTTAAACAAACCTATACAAAATTGAAAGTTACTAGTACAAATATAAAAAAATGTATATACAACTACAACTATATTCAACTAAACAATAAAAACAATAAAATAAATATCCAATTTAATTAATTCATTATCACTATCGAGTATATTGAGTACTTTTCACCAAAAACAAACTTATGAGTAAGAAAGACCAAAAACTCATAAAAGATCATATTACATTATTATAATAAACTGTATTGTCTGTATCCGATGTGTTAAATTAGCACAATCTCCAATATTTTAAAAAAATATTTTTTACACTAATTTGAGATCGGATACTTTGTCGATATTTATAAATAACTAGCAAACCCGACGAACTCCGTTTCGCCACCAGATGGTTTCGTGATAAAAATGAAGAAATTTTTTGATTGTTTTATATTTGAAAAGGAAAAATTTGATCAGAAAGGAAAACCCGACTTATTTTTATATATATAGAAGATAATCTATTTGCAATTATTTAAAACAATTATTGATTATTTTTATTACTCGAATTTTTAATTACGGTGCGTGAAGTTCCAGCAATTTGCATTAGGACACGATGCCATGCACCACTAATTTTCTTAGCTATAAACCTTGCGGAGCCCGAGACCTTTCCAACGAATGCAAAATTGCCGAAATCGGTTCGTACGTTCTGGAGTTATTTCATCAGGAAGGAAAACCCGACTTATTTTTATATATATAGAAGATAAGTTACTACAATTGTTGAGTATTGTTATTTAAAACAATTTGATGCTTCTATAGTATTTTCAAACTTCAAAACGTTTTCGAACAATAATATTTTATAATTGTAATAAGGAGTAAAAATATTTAGTAATTATCATAATTATTATGTACAAAGTTAGAAAAAAATAAAGATCACGCAGGGGTAATCTATATGATATAAAATATTTTGGCGCAAATATCACTTAAAAAACTGTTACATTTTTACATAAGATGAAACAAGCATAATTATCTATCAGCCCAATTCTATTTATTGTAACACGATATGTAGCCCTTAGTAAAGCAATAAATATTCAGTTGAGATAATATTTGACATTTGTTTATCCTACCTATAGAATCACTTGAAGATATAGCTGTTTATATGCGATTATGGATTTTAAAGATAAATTTGTTCCGAGAAATTTAAACTTTAACGTATTATGTATCAGATAGCGCTTATGTAAAAATACCAGTATTTTTGGGGTAAATACCGGTAAAAATATCGACGAAAAATCGGGCGGTTTACCGGTAATTCGGTACACCGGGATACCGGTATTGCATTCCCTTGTCACCACCCACTATAAATCTGGGTCATAATGTATCAAAAAAAATTTCAAGAAATATGATAATAGACTTCAAAATAGTGTGCACTTACTTCTGCAAAGTCTTCGTCTTCAGGAATTGCTTTGGCTTTCTTGCTGGTCTTGACCACATCTGCATTTGTGACATTCAATTCAGCTTTAGCAGGTGCTTTTTTGTTGGTCTTTACCAATTCAACATTTACATCTTTAGCAAGTTCCACATCATCTTTTCCAGGTGCCTTCTTTACTACATCTGCTTCAACTTCAGCTTTACTATCATCGGCAGACTTCATCAAATTTTCCAAAGTTTGTTTTATTTTTGCAACATTAGGGTCATCAGCTTCTTGAATGTTGGCAACTAGGACAAATTGAGGCAAGGTATCTTGATTTTCTTGGTTTTGCTGGTCTTGGAAAAATTGTTGATCAGACATTTCATTTTCGGTGGCTTCGTCGGTTATGATCTGGTTTTGGGATGTGGTGAAGGTTGTTGCATCGGATGTGGATTGTTCAGTTGAAGGTGAAGATGGCTCTGGGGTGCTTGGTGTGATTTCCTAGGGAGGAAATAATTTATTATGAAAAAATTAATTGGAAACTTGTTATAACAATTCACAAACTCATTGATGGTTTGATAGTCTTGGTCAGGGCCAAGTTTTTGGCTCGATTTGAGTGAGCAATTGATCAAAATTTGGTTTGTTCATGCACTAGGAGTTGACAAATTTTAACTATAGTGCAGTAAATGGAGAGGAAAAAAGGGTATAACCCCTGAATTTTTTTTACTGTGCTCCAAATTGCATGAAATTTTAGAATTAGGTTCATCTTAACCTCAAGTTCAAAAGTGAAAACAATTCGGGTTCCGGCACTACCCCCGGGGGGACCGCGAGCCCTTAATAAATGAGTGGACATTGAACCGTGTTATAGCTAGAAAACTTTTTTAATGTTAAAGGATATATTTAAAACATATTTTTTATGCCTTTACTTCAACCTCTAAATTAAGAAAATAACACTTAAAAATAAATTCGGTATGATATAATAAGAATTACGTATAAAGTAAATATTTTATGGTTTCTATCTTGATTATCAAATGTTTAACCCTTTATAGACCCCTTGATAAAAAATTGTTTTAAAAAATATTTTGAAATTGAAAGAAAATTAAGAAATTCTAAATGATATGAATGTTATTTCATTTTTTTCGAAAATAATTACCATATACACAATTTGTTCAACTCTTAAAACCACCCTTGAATAAAAACAGTTAATATAACACTAGTACCCAGTATAATTTAATCTAAACTCGTATATTTGTTGTTCCTTGTTACTGCAATTATTAAACTTTCATTTGACTATAGTGATGTAAAACTATATTTATTTATTTAACACGTTGACCTTTCAGCCATAAGATACTTTACTATAAGAATAAATCGCCTGGCAAAATTCTGTACCATGAAGATAGATATATTTCATGATCTACATAGTAATACAAAATTTTGTATTAATAATATATATATATATATATATATATATATATATATATATATATAGTCAATAGTTTTGGGCACGAAATACTGCCTACTTATACATTGCTCGAAATATTTGATGGACACAATTTGACAAAAATGCAATTAGTTTTTGGGTCATAACTTCTTTAATTTCTACTTCATCACAATTTGTAATATACCATTTGAAAGGTTAATAAAAGGGCTTTTAGTGCCCAGAAAATCGAAAAGTATTAGTTTTTTGAAAAACTATGATAGACATTTTTTGCTTATAATTAGTTCTTCTATCGGTTTCTGACGTTATTTTGAAAAATGTAATTAAGAAGGGATGTCATCCCACCCGAATTGTTTTCACTTTTGAACTTGAGGGTAAGATGAACCTAATTCCAAAATTTCATGCAATTGGAGCACAGTAAAAAAATTCAGACTCAAAACGCTCCGTTTTCTGCACTACTATACTCGACCAGGTTTGGCTCCAAACAAACTGGTATGAAACCACCAACAATAAACCATCAGTTATTACTGTTACCACTTTTTTTCCCTCAGTAGTCATCTCACTGCTACTGTCTCCTTCGGTATTTTTAGGAGTGATAACAATCTCCAAAACACGACTTTGTGGTTGATCAGAAGCACAATTCTCAGCTTTATCCATGTCATTGTCATCAGCAATGCAAACCAAGTCAGATTCTCCATCATGCACATCAGGATATCCACTCTGTTCTTTCTAAAAGTGAACATGGATGAAAAATTGGTAACAAGTGGCTAGAAATTATATAGTATTATATTCTCAATTGAGTAATTACATTTTTTCAAAATAACGTCGAAAATCGATAAAAAAAGCTAATTATAAGAAAAAAATATCTTTTATAGCTTTTCAAAAAAACTAATATTTTTCAAGTTACTGGCTAATTGATATATTTTGCTTCGTGAGCTATCATGCAAATAAGCACATACAATGTTTTTTTTCCTTTTAAATCAAATGGTTTAATGAGCGCCATTTCCACCAGAATTAAAGTAATTCACATTCCAACTAGAATTTACTTCATTATAGACATCTTGATGAATTCTAGCAGATTCAGTACTTTAGTACAAACTATTTTCAGAAAACTCACGATTTTATAAAAAAAAAAATCCAATTTTTTTTAAAATTGAACTTATTTTCATTATATCTCAAGAATAATAAAAGATACGTATAAAACCATATAGATAAAAATAAAAGGAATCTTTCTGGATTATTATTGTGTTTTATCATTTACCTGTCACACAAAAATTGACAGAGTTATGATTGTTTAAAGAGTGCGCGGCCGCACAATCAGAGACTCTCTTGAGCCCTTTAAAAAACCGTTCGCCATTTCAAAATGAGAAGAGTTACGAAAAAAATTATGATGAAAAAAGTTGTAGCCCTTTTATTAACATTTCAAATAGTATATTACAAATTGTGATGGAGTACAAATTGAAGGAGTTATGACTCGAAAACTAATCGCATTTTATAAATCATTCTTATAGTAAAGTATCTTGTGGCTGAAAGGTTCACGTGTTAAATAAATTGAGTATTTTCCGATGTGTAAATAATCGACCCAATACTTAAAAATTCAGATTCATTCCATTTCCATTTTCAGATACAAATTTTTATGAATTTTTAAAATTAATGACTTTGCAGACTCATAATATTTTAGTAATTATGATGGTTATGATCATGGAATTTTATCAGAATCGAACGTTTTTTTCAACAACTAATTACGTAAATGCGGTCCGGTCGATATATTCGAACAGTTTAGAACGAAAATTTTAGTACCGTTCTCCGAATTTCAAAAAACGGCTTAGTCTATCATTGAAAAACCAAGTATTTTCTGATAAAACATAAACTTTTTTTGGGAAGTTAAATACTTCAATGACACAGGAACAGTCAGTCAGTCCCTCATTGTTCATAGTAGCATAAATTTTAGAAAAACTACAGCCGTCATAAGCTATAAATGCTTTAATAAATGTGTATATTGAATTTGAATTGTTTGTAGAAATCTTGGAAAATTGATAAATAAATATTGATGACAAATAAAAATTTCTTTTAGGTTTATAATTTTTTTGTGAGAAAATTTTGCCCTACCTGAGGAGGCCTCTAAAAAAATTTTGATACGGGGCCCCGCCAATGCACGCTACGCCCCTGAATAAATAATATACTTTTATTTTATTTATAGTTTTATTACTATAATCAAATAAAAGATTAATAGTTGCAGTAACAACAACAACAAATATACGAGTTTAGACAAAATTATACTGGGCACTAGTGTCATATTAACTGTTTTTATTCAAGGGTAGTTTTAAGAGTTGAACAAATTATGGATATAACATTTATATCATTTTGAATTTCTTAATTTTCTTTCAATTTTAAAATAATTTTTTCAAACAATTTTCAATCAAGGGGTTGTTTTTAAAGGTCTAAAAAAGGTTAAAAATTTGATAATCAAGATAGAAAACATAAAATATTATTTACTTTATACGTAATTCTTATTATATCATACCGAAATTTATTTTTAAGTGTTTTTTTTTAATTTAGAGGTTGTTTAGGGTTTTCACGGGGTTGAAAATGATTGTATTGCAAGATAAATGTATTCAAAAATATTTGTAATTATATCCTTCAATATTAAAAACGTTTTCTAGCGACAAAACGGCTCAATGTCTACTTATTTATTGCAGTACAGTAAAAAAATTCAGATGTTAGACCCTTTTTTCCTCTCCATTTAATACACTAATAAGCTCACCTCAACTTCTGCATTCTTCAAAACACCTTGGCTAGGAATTTCGTCAAATATTGGTTCATAGGGCTCTTCTGTTTCTGTTTTTGGGGTGCTTTGAAGATTATCTCCAAAAGTTTGAATATTGATGTGCACGAACGAGTTGCTATCCGAAGGTGCTGATAAAAAATTATACATGGTAAAAATTTATACTTGAATCAGTGGACATTTACAATGGTCAGATTAGGGTTTGTCGGTTTTCAAAAACCGGTTTTTGGCGAAAATTATGGAATTCGAAAACCGGTTTTTTAGTGAAAAAGTCGGTTTTCACTGTATAAATGAAAAATGACAAATATAGCCAAATATAATAAAAGATAGATGAAAGCGTTTTGATTCTTGAAATCATATCGGTTCAATAGCATTTGATATCTTATCAGTCTGCAATGGTTCCCAAAAGGTTTTGTATATATTAATTTAGATTTTTGTACCAGTGCATGTATTAATTTAAATCAGTGTGACTTCTTCTTGAAGAAGTAACTTCCTCTACTCAAACTTAAAAAAAAGAGTTTTGAACCCTAGAAGCCACAAACTAAAGAACAAAAAACTTAGAATCATTATACCAGGCTTTGAAAACAATTAAGCATAATTTGGTCGCTAATTGTTTTTAAGGGGCACAACTAGTGTGAAATTTTGAAAAAATCGATTTTTATTTTTTTTTTTCATATTTTGATAGATAACACTTTTAAAATTAACATATTAAAATTTTAAATCGATATCTCAACTCAAGTTTGAGTTACAGCCATTTAAGAAGTATACATATATATAGTATATAGTACACCGATCATTTTATCTTTAAACGCGTTTTTCTCGAAACATCATTTTCCGAATTTGCTGCAGTGATTACTCAAAAACGAATGATCTGATCACTATCAAATTTTTTTTACATGTTCTGCATATAGTTCTCTGTAAAATGAACTATCGATTTTTTGATCAGATCAAAAATCGAAATTTGGCAGTCGAAAAACGACTAAAATTTTGGGTAAAATTCGACTTCTTTTTAAAAACGCCGCCATTTTGTCAATTTTTGATTTATTTTTTTTTATCGTAGTTCATTTTAGAGACAATATAATCTAGTTTGACGAGAATTATTATTTTTTTTATTTCATCCACGTAGAAGGCCGGAATCACTGCAGCAGTTAAGGGCCTTTTTTTGTCGCGCCGTTGGATATCGACGATAACTTAAAAAATATTTAATTTTTTTTCTTCAAAAATTTTACTATGTATTCTTAAAGCATGTATAAATATACTTCTAAAATTTTGAAATGATTGATAGAGTAGTTTTTTCAATATAAATTCCCAAAAATCACCTTTTTTTAGGCGGTTACACTAGTTGTGCCCCTTAAAACAAAAATTGATATTAACAAGTATGTATCAACATGTATCTGATATTTTTTTATCTCATGATTTTTTTTATTTAAAAATGTATTAATTTTATTTATTCGAAAATATTCCTTACACTATCATAAAAATATTTTCATTCTTATATGTGAAAATGATGCATGAATAACGAATAAGTATTTTCAAAGTTATTTAATCAAGATACACTATTATTTTTTAGTTCTACTGAGTAAAATTAAAATAATTTTGTTTACTATCCATAAAATTGAACAACAAATAGATTCAGTCAAATTCTGCTCTAAATCACACTAAATGTGCGGATAAATTACAGGATGTTCGAGCAAAAATTTATTAAATTATACTGCGGATAAATACGGATAATACTATTAAATTAATTTATACTGCGGATAAATTACGGGATGTTCGAGCAAAAATTTATTTTCTATATAAAATTCGAAACCGGTTAAAACCGGTTTTATAGTAAAATTAAAATTTGAAAACCGGTTTTCTGAAATGTCGGTTTTTGTATAAACCCTAGATCAGATTCTTACTAGTTTCCTGAGTTATGACCTCCACGCCACCACCAAAAATGTCGTCATCCTCATCAGATTTTGGAGGTTCATCCTTCACAGGTTCACCATCTTTTTTATCCTCTTGTGTCGGGTCCATTGGTGGTCTGCGTACTGCAAATAACATTTTTCTAAAGAACATTTCTCGATTGAAAGCAGGGTGTTGTCTGAAAGCTGCCAAGGCGATAGCCTCCTGGACGGCTGGTGAATCTGGATCAAAATTAAAGTGTCCTATTTGGGATTGATCAGATCCTGGTTGTTTGTCTTTGGATGCTTGATCGGCTTTGGCAGCAGAAAACTCGTCCATGAGCATTTCCATGATGCGGGAGATGAGGAACTGTTTGGTCATTTCGCGCCTAAAACATAATAGAGAGATACAGTATGTGTTAAGCTCCGGAACGGCTGGACTGATTTTGATCGAACATTTTTTAACAGATAGTTGATGTGATGGGGCGTAACGAGCTACGTTTATTCTTTAGGCGCGACATGGGTGTAAATCCGTACAAATGCAACAGAAATTGTTACGTCAAGGTCAAGTAAAAGTCATTCGCTCTCGATTTGATGGTATGATTTCTATACGGGTCGATTCTGATTGGTCGTATTTGTGCGAGGCTTTTTGGTATGCGTGACTTTATACGTGCGTACGTCACCGAAAGCGTGAAGCATATTGGTCAATTTTTATGTCAAAACATTTCATGGTTAAATAGTATCATTTGTAAATTGTTTTTCAAACAATTTTTGTGCGTTTCTAAACAAATTGAAGTCTTTATATGGAAGTTCAAATACTTCATTTGACTCTTGCAAAAGATCAGTTCTTGTCACATTATTAGTCACCTTATATGCAGAATCATCAATTTGCAATTGGCGTGATTAGTTGCTTTATCAGAAAAAGTTAATAAATCATGAGTTAATAAAAAATGTCAGGTTCGGAAAAATTTTATCCCGTCCCCGATAAACAATTGTAGTGCAAATAATGAAACAAATGAATCTGCGCTGCGTAAGAAATGTAAGTTTATTGAAGTAATTTGTATTATTCGAGTTTTTCGAGGTTACTATATACCTTTGGGGTTATTACTAAAATGGAAAATATTTTTATAGGCAAGGCACTACAGTTGCTCAAAGAATGAAACTCTATCACCAGCGAAATAGTCAAAACAAACAAGCAAACAATAAAGTATGTTGATTTCAATTGCAATTTCAATTACAAACACAATTACATGATAAATGAAATTGTGAAAACAATATTTCTTTATTGGAAATTTAAAGAAAGTTTACATGTTTCTCTGTTATTATGCCTATGAAGAATAATTTTAATTTTATATAATAGTAATTTTAAATATTGACGCATGTTCAAACCTTTTACAAACTCTGAAAGATCAAGATTACATCGTCAAACAAAACAACTGCAGGAAAATAATCGGTTAATTTATTGCTTCTTTAATTTAATTTAATTGCTAATTTTTGTTAGAAAATCTTGAGCCAAGTATCAATTTAGATGTTAATGTCGACACCATTGACATAAGTAAGAATCTTTTTTCGCTATTTGACTCTATTATTCTATTAACTATTATTTTGTTATCTTTTTAGATGAAAGTACTGCTGTAACTTTTTCTGATACAGCAACTACATCACGTCAATTCCAAATTAATGATTCTGCTTATAATGTGACCAATAATGTGACGAGAACTGATCTTTTGCAAAAGTCAAATAAAGTATTTGAACTTCCATATAAAGACTTCAATTTGTTTAGGAATGCACGAAAATTGTTTGAAAAACAATTTACAATTGATAGCTTTGGCTGTGTATGTTTTGTGTGTGATCGACTTTGGTTTCAAAGTGACTTAAAAATATCAAATAAAACTCAAAAACAAATTCTTAATAATGGTTTTTCTGAATGTTGATTCAAATAATCAGGTTGGATGTCAAACTCGTCGAAAGGTATTAAATTCGGGTAAAATTCCCACTTTGTGTAAATTTAACGGGTTTGTATTTCCACCTATACCAAATTATCTACCTAAACTAGATACTGTATCTGAAAGATTAATTTCACCTAGGTTGTGTTTCATGCAAATTAGACGATTGCGACATGCAAATGGACAATTTGGAATATTTGGCCAAATTATAAATGTGCCTGTTGACGTTAATAATATGGTTAATTTATAACCTCGTAATATTGATTATAATCATTGCATTAACGTTCACATAAAAAAAGAAAATGATACATAGATCAAGCTATGTGCAGGACTTGATAAATAAAACAAATATAAAAGTATGGCTTCAATATTTTAGGCAAGACAGATATTACAGCTATTCAAAGAATGAGATTATATCGCCAGCGAAGCAGTCAATGAATGTATGTTAATTTCAATTACATGAAGTTCTTCAAGCACAATTATTACATGATGAGTGAAGTTACGAAAACAATATTTGTTTAGGCGTTGTTTAACTCTTTTTTTTATTTTTACCTCTTGTCATCAGCCTGGCCACCGTGTTCCTTGTCGGCTTCGTGGACAGCCTGAGCCAGAACTGTTGCAACCGTGGTTGCAGAAGTGGTCATATCTTCATTTTCTGCATCCTGTCGCATTTTTTCCTCGTTTAGTTTTGCTGCAGCAACCAGCATTGATGTAAGTCTTCCTGGACACTGGTTGTCGAAGCACTGGTCACCGTGGTATGTGCATCTCCTAACCCTTAATAGATAGAAAAAATAGATAAACTCACTGTAATCAAATATGATAAAGGACCAGATGACATTCAAGGGGGGTTGTTTGTTTTTTATTTTTTTGTTGTTTCGGTTTTGAGATTTTTTGATATTGTGAAAGATAAAACCCTTAGAATCATTTAAAAAAAAATCATCTCAATATCTATTTTTTTGACGAAGTTATAGATATATATATCTCTATACGTATGATCCTCTGGAAGCGTTTTTTTATCGCTCCGCAAGCTATTGTATGCCATCTGCCTCTTTTTCATTATAATACCTCATGCACATGATCTTTTTAATATGTCAGCATCTTTGAACACCATGGTGTATTTCGTACATTAAATTAAATGGTGTATTTAGTACATAATATTTAAAACTTCAAATACGTTTTTCTCAAATTGACTTTTTTCAATTTGGTGCCACAAATTAAAAAAAACTACAAGTCGGATCGACTTGCATTTTTTTTTTAATTTGTTCACCACTGCAATATCTAGTCCCCCTACCTCAAACAACTTCATAACACAACGCAGAAAAAATTTGCAAATATCTGGTCCCAGAAAAAGCCAAAACAAAAACAAATACCTTGCATTTTTTGTCATAAAAATGAACAGCCCCCTTAAAAAAAAACAGCAAGAAGAAAACATTCATAAGATGTTGAATTAGATGTAGTGCATTAAACGGAGCGTTTTGGGTTTGAATTTTTATACTTTGCTCCGAATTGCTTGAAATTTTTGAATTAGGTTTATCTTACCCTGTAGTTAAAAATTGAAAACAATTCGGGTTCCGCCAACACGCCCCGGGGAATGACACCTCTTCTCAATTGTGTAATTACATTTTTTCAAAATAACGTCGGAAATCGATAGAAGAACTAATAAGAAAAAATGTCTTTTATTGTTTTTCAAAAAAACTGGCCACTAAAAATTCATATATTTTTGGCCTTTTTCTTCAAATCGTTATCATGCAAATAAGAAGCATATACGATGTTTTTTTTTTCATTTAAATCATATGGTTTAATGAGCGCCATTTCCACCAGAATTAAAGTAATTCACATTCCATCTAGAATTCGCTTCATTATAGACATCTTGATGGATTCTAGCAGATTCACTACTTTAGTACTTCCGGATATGTGTAAATAATCGATTTAGTAAAAAATAGATTAATTTATGAGTCATTAAAAGTATTCCGAGTGGATTTATAACACATATTTGAAAACGAACAAACACATTAACTCGGAGTATTTTCTAAAAGCAAATTTTCAAAAATCAATAATTTTTATAATTGAGACAGTTCTTTGCAGGACTTTAATTGTTTATTATGTTCATTAAGACCAAGTACTCTATCGTTATACCAAGTAAATCGTCTAATTTTAATTTTAACAAACGTCAAAAAAACTACTCATTTTTTGAACTTCGATAAATTTTTAAAATTAAACTACTTATTGCAAGGCCGTAATATTTCAATAAGTTGTATAAGACCATGATATATATCGCTAAAAAAGTTTTATCAAAATAGGCCTAAATTTTTTATCCAACAGTTAATTACAAGAAAACGGCTCGGTAGATTTTCACCTAAAACTAATCAGTATCATTCCCAACTAATATCATTCGAACAGTTTTTGATTTTTTAAAATCCATTCGGTAGTTTGAGCTTAAATGTGGAAGAAAAGTTTAACACTTTTTTTTCAAATTACAAAGAAACGGCTCGGCAGATCGTCTCACGAAACTGACAAACTATAGTCCTCATTGAGATACATCAAATGGGTTTGAAATTTCTGAAATCGGTTCAGGCGTTTCTGAGGGAACGTCGATGAAAGGTCTAATTTTGACAAATGTCAAAAGAACGATACTTATTTTTGCAAACTTCGACGAATTTTTAACTCGTAGGACCGTAATATTTCAGTATGATCTATTCAATACTTATTACAATAATATTTCATAACTCATATTTTCAACACTTTATTACAAGAAAACAGCCAGGCCGATCATTACCAAAAACTAATCAGCACGATTCCCAACCAATATCTTTCGAACGGTTTTTGAATTTTCAAAATCGATTAAGAATTGCGGGCTAAAACGTGGACGAAAAAATTTTCACTTTTCTGCGATTTATAAAGAAACGGCTTTGCCGATCGTCGCACAAGCAATAGTTCTCATTAAGATACATCGAATGGCTTTTAAATTTTTGAAATCGGTCCAGCCGTTTTTGAAAAAACGTCGATTTACGGCAAAAAATCTGTTCATACACACACACACACACACACACACATACACATACACACACACATACACACACACATACACACACATACTTTTTCCAAATTTGGTCTCATTCGATTCAGAATGGCTTGAAACGTCGAGAAAACACAAAATTAGCGAATAGATTTTTTTTGATGAAAATGTATTCTTAGGAAAGTTAAAACAGCAAGAGAAACACATTTCTAGAATGACGACTTAGCTGTTAGTTTTACTGAACATAGTCAGATGAGAAAGTTGTTTGTTCGGTTTCCACAATATAGTTGCTAAGCTTTGTGTTTTGTCCTACTAATTTTTTTTTCAAAAACTTACAATGCCCTGATGAATCTTTGAACTCCTTCCCTAGCTTCTCGTTTAGTTTCGGGTTTCTCCTGAATTTGTGCATATCCATCCAAAATGACTTGACCTACATCTTTTGGTTTTTCACCATCTGACTCTGTAGACTCTGTTGTGGGTTGATCAGTCCCTGCATTCTGAAAATAATAACAACTAGTTGTAAGATGCAGCTATTTAGGTAAATGTTTATGAAATTTTAAGTAAGTTCAAGTATCAAAACTGAGGGACCGATTCTGCCGCATAACAGACCAATGTTATGGCAAGGCTATGTTATGAAGAACTTTCTATACTAAATATTGACAAAAGCCATGTGGTTGATTGTAATTTAAATTACATAGGAGAAACAAGCCAGAACTTCATTAAACGCTTACAATAATATAAAAACAATTCAAAAAATCGCAGACTATTCAAAACTATGCTTGCGGACCACATTATTACTTTAACACACAGTATAGACTTTCCTGACCCGACTGTGCTACAATTCGAACAACATTTATTTAAATAATTATAGAAGGATTTTTTTCTAACTATTTAGGTAACAAGGTCTTTTTGACCCAGCTTCATAACATACGAGTGACGTAGCAGTTTATGTATAAAACGCTTGAATGCACAGAATAAGGTTGTCAAATATCTCCCTTCCGCCTTTTTGTATTATAAACCAAGAGCAAAAAGCGGAAGGGAGATATTTGACAACCTAATACATGACATTTTGACAGTATGCAGTATGATTCAGTAGCATAATGTATGTTAACATGGCCTTGCCATAACTTTGGTCTCTGTTATGAGGAAGAATTGGTTCCTGAATCACTTTACCTCACTTTTCTTCATGAATCTTTTGTAGAATTGATTAATGTCCATCTTGAAAGCAAATTCTTCGGGTGATCCAGGTTGCACCGGGGCTAAAAAATAATATTTTTATAATCAGTAATATTACAGAGATTAAAAAAATAATTTTTTTACAGAATTATGACGTTAAAACGATTTTGCAGTGTTCGAACCAAACTACTTGTTTTATGCGGGAAATTGTGTTATTCGGGATATAGTCAACTCACGTACTCACAAAAATCGTTATTGAAAAATAAACTAGCTGTAAGTGGAATTCTATCTTAAGGCAATTAAGGCATCGTGCCTTAAGGCAAATTGCTGGAACTTCCCGTTCCAAAAATTATTATTTTTGTTAAAAACGATTGACATTTTTGAAAAAAATTTACTTTGAAAAAAAAGATTTTTGAGAAACTATAAATTGGACAAAAAATTACTTTTTTTTTGAAAAAAAATTTTTTTTTAAAAAAAATATTTTTTTTAATCTTTTTTTTCTAAAAATTTTTTTTTTTTTTATTTTGACATATTGTGGAAGATCTGTACATTTTTTTCAAAGCAATCGTACTGCTTTAACTGCATAGGAACAAAATATAAAGCGCGTAAGCGCCGCGTCGCTGTCTAACGCATAAGCATTGGTACGGAACCCATAGAAATGTTAACAAAATGTATAGTTATTGTTAAAATCTCTATAAAATATCTGATAATTTGATGTGCATATGTCTAATGATCATTTTTGACCGCCAAATGGCTCATTTTTTTTACTTTTTCCTCCATGCCTTCGAAACCGCTAGACCTACCTTCATGAAAATTTTATCGATTCTTCATCTTGTCAATGCAAGTGAAATGTTTGTTGAATTATTCAAATCGAACGCTCCGTTCTCTTAAAAACTGAGTTACCGTTTTCGGCACTTTTTGCCCCGTATCTTTGGAACGGCTAGACCTGCCTTCGCCAAAAACTAATCAGCACGTCTCCTTATCAATACGAATCGAATGTTTTTTGAATTATTCAAATCGGTTTATCCGTGTTCCCGAAATCGTCGACGAAAATTTGTATCCGCACATACATACACACACGTACATACATACATACATATATACATACACACACACACACACACACACACATACATACATCCATTTTTTCTAAGGTATGCCAAAATATTCAGAAACCTCTGAAACGTAAAGATATATACAAATTTTCATTTTTGATTTTTTTGCGATTACTATAACTTGCCCTACGGGAAGTTAAAAAATAATACAACAAATTGATATTTATCCTTAAACTTATTAGTAACATATCTAAACTATCAAGAATATTTATAAAATTAATATTTGATTTATAAGGTGAAAGGGTGCTCCATGGTTAACTGGCTAAATGGCAACTTGATATCAGGCAGCAGCGATATCTATTGTCACTTAAAAATATAGATCAAATATATGTTTCTAATGAAAAATAAGTCAATTTTTAGGCATTACGGTGTGAAATGGCAATGAGAAATACCTAACATTTTGTTTCCTAGAGCAGTACCGCCCTTTATTTTTTTATAAGATGGAAGTGAAAATTTGGGGCAAAGAGCCTAATTTCAAAAGTTCGAATAAACAAGAGTGTTAAATATTTCTGTTAGATCTTTCTCTGTTACAGATTGGAAATTTGTTGAAATTCAATAAATAATACATTATTTAAAAGCGCGGTAGTAATACATCAGAACCTTGATCTTTAAATGTACCAATTCAATTTAAATGAAACCAGTTTCAGATTAGGCTGTGCCTCATGAACATCTATATGTGACATGCTTTGCAGTGGGTAAACCAACCGTATAATTTGTGTTAGCTGTCCATTTCACTCATATAACACACTTCTACATCCTACATTCTACATTTATGCTAAAAATTATCTAGAAATATTTTTGTTGGCTAACAAAGTTTACCGGGCCAGCTAGTATATATATATATATATATATATATATATATATATATATATATAATTTCTATACCTTCAGTGACAACTTTCAAAGGTGTAATGATTCCTTGTTCATCTATTTTCTGGGCTTCCAAAATCGAACCGAGTGTATTGTATTGCGAATCGGCATCTAGAATAAAACAAAATTATTAATTAAATCAATTTTAAATAATTATCAACAATAAATTAATCTTATATATAAAAATGGAGCTCTCGATAAAATGATCCGCTAAAACTCGAAAACGGCTGAACCGATTTAGCCAGTCTTAGTCTTAAAAAATTCGTGCTACTCAGTAGGTTGTCGGAAAGGTGAGATATTATTTCAAAATCGCGTACAAACTTTACATTTTTAATTTGAAAATTTTTGTAGAAGCGTAATTTAATCAATAATAAAACAATGGACGGTGGCTAATACGTCAAATGTCAAACGTTTTTGACAGATTATGTTCAATTACGTTTAATAGAACGTTTTACGTGAATAGTATTTAATTATGATTAAGTGTCAGTAAGTAGTTTTGTTCGTAGTTTTATTTATACACAAAAACGTTATTAAACGGATAGTAAGTGTTGCTAGAAACTCAAAATATCAACTTTTTTGAAATGTTAATATGAAAATGCATTTCGAATAACATTTTCCCAGTTTTAATTTCCCAGAATTTATCTAAGAATAGATAGTAATATATAAAAGTCTGGGATTGAAAAGGTCCACCACCGATGTGTCAAAAACCAGTAAAGTTAAGCATTATTTAACAACAATATTTGAAAGTAGAGGGAAAAAGATGTATAACCAGCTTTAACCTTGATTCTCATGACTTTGCTATTGGGTAATCTTTGAAAATCCATAATAAAAGTATTTCCTTCCGTTGGTAGTTTTTTGGCATTACTTAAAAATGTAATTATTTTGTAAAATACCTTTAAAATTGAAATAAGACATTAAACCTGTAGGGTAAAGAGGTCTAGATTACGAATTTTTGAAAGACATCAAAAAAGCACATTTCTACAATGATGAAGTAGCTGACAGTTTAACTGAACGTAGTCAGATAATTGTTTGTTTGAAATGTGTTAATTGTTGTGATATAATTGGTTTGATTTTGATAATATAATTAATATTTGCTCAAAGTTAAATTGGACCTTTGTACTTCGCCATGCTTTACATATATACTTTTTATTAAATTTACTTTAATTCATCGAATGTTAACATCGAAAACTTTTCAAAAAGCAGGTCAAAGAAGAAATACTTTATTCATTTTCTATTTCTTCTCGCAGAAATTTGAAAATTGTGTATAAGCTCAGTAGTATTATTTACAATTATACACAAAATCGAGAGAATCCAAAAAGAATCTGAAGAACTTGAAACGTAATCAACAAGACCAAAAAAACTTGGAGTGGATTATGCTATTTTTTTTATTGAAAGTGTATAAAACTTCCAGCCAAAATATAGACAAACTAATGGGGTTTATTGTTTTTATAATAGCTCATTGTAAATAGCATTCAAACAACACATCCCTGTACACTAAAAGTATTAATTTTTCGATTATCTAGAAATTGTTTAGAATATACCTTACTTAGCAAAACAACGGTTTGCCGGGTCAACTAGTATATATATACATTATATAAATAAATAAATAAATTATTACTATTAATAATTGTTTTACCTTGATTGTTGCTTGGAGCAGTCAACTTGTTGACAGCCATTTCTTGTAAATTTGAAGAAACTTCTTGTGCAATTTCAAATGTAGCTAAAAATAATAGCAAATTATTTGCAAAATTATCATTTTTTTTAATTACTATATTTATTACAACTGTTAAATAATATAACATCTAGCAATAATGATAATAATAATAACATAAATTTAAATAAATAAGAGTATAAAGGATAGACTTTACATTAAAATGATATCCGTAGTATGATGATTTAAGCAAATAATAATAAAAATAAAATTAATAAATAAAATAAATAAAATTTCTAAATAGAAAAATAATAAATAATAACAAAATAACAATATTAGAAATAAGATAATAATAATATTAATGTTAGCGTTTACAAATGGCTATTTATGAGATCATCGGATATTTTTCGTTTTAGCCTTTTTTTATCATATAATTATTAACAATGGATTATTACTATTATAATAAATCCATTATCACTGTTAATAAATATCTTACCTTGGTCGTTGTTTGGGGCAGTTAGTTTGTTGACGGTGACTTCTGGTAAATTTGAAGGGACTTCTCGTACAATATCAAATGAAGCTAAAAATAATATTCGATTAAATATTAAAAATTGAGTTCGCAACTTATTTATATTCGCAAAATATTTAGATTTTCAACCTGTTGGTAAAACGACTGCCATTTCCCTTTCCCTGGGCCTAACATTGTCGACGACCACCAAGGGCGGCCTGGTGTTTCGTCTGCGAATCATCCTTTGTTGGGGACTCGGCCAAAAGTGTTTTCTTCGGGGAACCATTCGGGTTTCTCGGCCACCTGGAACTTTTTATAGAGCATGGTTGTAGTAATCGCAAAAAAAACAACAAGAAGAAATAAGAATACTTAATGATGAAGGACCAGAATATATGAAAACTATACCCATTAAAATAAAGAAGCAAAAGAAAAGGAAAAAAAATTAAAAGAAGACGAATTATTGATCAAACTAGTGGTGTATGGCACCGTGCCTTAAGGCAAATTGCAGGAACTTTCCGTACCGTAATGAATTATTCGAGAAATTTCAAACGTTTTCATATATATTATTACAAATACTGTAACTTTCATTATTTTTGCTATCTTGTTACATCTGAGCAAATCAAATGTAAATCATAACTCAATTTATCCCCAGAACATTAACAACCGTCATTTCATTTCGAATTCAATTTCAAAAAAATAGTTGCCTAAATTTACATAAAATTGAAAAAGTTTTCCAGTCACAGTCTAAACGCTTTTGCAAATAATTCTGTGCGACACTTTCACTTATACTGTGCTTAGCTTGGCGGCATTTTCACATCCAGTACATAAACACTTGGGTAAACACTTGTACCAGAGTGGCGCTTAGGCTGTGCTTAGCCAGGGTAATTTTTTGAATTTTTAATCCAAAATTACAAAAATATTTTATGGAAAATAAAAAAGGTGTAACATTTTTTTATCCCCAAAAGCAATTGTTTTGCCAATACAAGCAGTAGGTTTTTAGATCATTCAAATCGGACGCTTAGTTCACTCGAAAACTGCCATTTTTTGCACATTTAGCTCTGTATCTTCAAAATGGCGGGACCTGTCTTTGCCAAAAACTAATCACCTCTTCTCCTAATCATTACAAATTGAATGTTTTTTATATCATTCAAATCCGATACTTCGTTCAGTCAAAAACTCGATTTGTATTTTCTGCACTCTTTGCTCCGTGTCTCCGTAACGGCTGAACCTGCCTTTGCCAAAAACTAATCAGCACATCTCCCTATCAATAGGGATCGAATGTTTTTTAAACCATTCAAATCGGTTGATCCGTGCGCCCGAAAACGTGGACGAAAAAATACGGACATACAAAACACACACACACACATACACACATACACACACATCCATTTTTTCTGAGGTATGCCAAAATGTTCAGAAACTTTCAAAACGTGAAGAAATGCAAAAATTTTCATTTTCGATTTTTGGCCCATTACTATAACTACCCTACGGGAAGTTGAAAAATAAAAATTTTGATAGGGTCGAACAGGGTTTGAAGGTCCACTACCGATATCTCAAAAGCAAGTAAAGTTACAACAATATTTGAAAGTAGAGGGTAAAAGATGTATAACCAGCCATTTCTTTGATTCTTACGATGTTGCTATCGCGAGATAAACGGCAATGCCTAAAAATCCATAGCAAAAGTATTTTCTTTCGTCGTTGGTTGAGTACTTATTGGATCTTTATGCCCAGTTCTACCCTGTTTGAAAAAAATTGATAGAATTTTCTAAAGAATTATTACCGTATTCCATATTTTCATCATCAGGCATCAAAGGTTGATCATAGGTGTGGTCTTCCGGATTAAGATTTTGTTTTCTTAAATCGTCCCTCATCCTTTCCATAAATCTCATCTTCTCCATCACTGCGAAGGGAATATTCTGGAAATAAAATCAAAACTCATAAAAAAACAAATCTTATGTATTCTCCAATTGAATCATTATTAGTAAATGGACAAATGGTTTTGAGCACTGTTGTTTAGTTGACGATAGCTGGATATAATTTTCTTAGTATACGTTAATTAATTGTTTTATAAGGTATAGTGTTATTTTTAACTTAGTTATTTTATATAGCTTTCCATTTTATTCATTCATTTATTCATAAGCAAGCCTTAATCAATAATAAAAGATATTATTTCAGGCTCTTGTCAAACTTATTCATAATTAACATTAAATGGATAGTAATTTTATAATAATTATAGTAGCTGCACGAATTTCGCTTCTGCAAAAAGAGCTGAAAAAAGCATTCGAACATTAAATACAAAGTTCATCATCAAGTTTATCATATTAAAGTCTATTTGACCACCAGTCAAGCTCAAAATTCTTGCACAAGGTTGAAAGTTATACTCAATTAAAACCGTAAAAAAATTAAATTAATAAAATAGCAATAAAAAAAACATGATTTTACAGGCGATCAAATGGTCAGGCTACAGAGATAAATGTAGTATTAAGTAATGTCATAAAAAGCTAATTCTTTAAAAAGTTTAACTAGGGAAGCATGAAATTTTTTGCTGCCTAAGTTTGTGTCTAGTGTTGTAATTTGAGGAGGACGAAGCCATATCAAAAAGTTTCGAATTGTTTTTGATGAAAGATAATGTTACTAGCAGAAAAATGCAAGGGACAGTTAGAATATTGCGTTTTTTAAATACGGGTCTGCAGGAGGCTTTACTGGGCAAGGAAAAAATTATTCGAATATCTCTTTTCAGAAACTTAAATATTTTAATTAGTTCGGATGAAAAGCCCCCGAATTGGATGCCGTATGAAACGTGAGAATAAAAGTTGCTATAATAAACTGGAAGTAAGCAATTTAAACCAAGTTTGGGTTTTAGAGTGCCCATGTTCTATATAAAGTTGGTGATAGTGAGATAGAAATATGGTCATACCACTTTAAATTATAATTAATATGAATACCAAGAAACTTTGATACTTGCGAAAAATTATATGCTAAATTATTGATGGTTACAAAAGTAATATTATTGGATAAACGATTTTTTGTACAAAACGATATGATTTGATCTTATCATTATTGAGTACTAGATTATTTTCACAAAACCATTTCAATAGAGATATGATCAGACCACTTTAAATTATTATTAATATGGATACCAAAAAACTTTGATACTTGCGAAAAATTATATGCTGAATTATTGATGGTTAAAGAAGTAATATTATTGGATAAACGATTTTTTGTACAAAAAGATATGATTTGGGTCTTATCATTATTGAGGACTAGATTATTTTCACAAATCCATTTCGTTATTTCTGACATAACCACACTTAATTTATGCTGTAATTCATTAAGGGATTTGGCCTTGATGATAACGCTGGTATCATCCGCAAAAAGAATAAAATCACAAAGATTTGTACAATGGGGTGAATCATTAATATATATGAGAAATAAGAGAGGCCCTAAAATTGATCCTTGGGGCACACCCAATGTACTAGTCAATTTATCCGAAATTATTTGCTTGTGATCATTATTTAAGTAAACGCTTTGTGTTCGATTAGACAGGTAAGATTCAAATAGTTTAAGCGAACGTTCGCGAATACCACAATTTGTCAAGAAGTCTTTTGTGAGAAATAATATCAAAAGCTTTAGACTTTTAAATAGCTTTAATGCGGATAAAAAGGCTATCTACCCTTTCTATTATTTATTTTTCGTACCTGAGGATTTGATTCATCTGTTGGTCCATTGTTTTCGCCTTCACTTCCAAAACAAAATGCTTCCTTTGGCATATCACTTCCTTTTTCTTCTCGGAGTTGCTCCTGGTTACCATTATTGTTTATTTGAGCATCAGCCTGTACGTCCCTTTTCTTGATTCTATCTTCTCGGGGCTGCTCTTGGTTACAATTAATGTTTATTTGACCATCAGCTTGTACATCCCTTTTCTTGATTGTATCTTCTCGGGGTTGCTCTTGATTGCCATTAGTGTTAATTTGAGCATCAGCCTGTATGTTCCTGCTTGTGATTTTATCTTCTTGGGGTTGCTCCTGGTTATCATTGTTGTTTATTTGACCATCAGCCTGTGCTTCCCTTTTTCTGATCATTTCATCTAGGAAGTGCTGCCGGTTGCCATTGTTATTTATTTGACCATCAGCCTGTGTGTCCCTTTTTTTGATTCTATCTTGTCGGGGTTGCTCCTGGTTGCTGTTGATTTGGCCATCAGCCTGTGCTTCCCTTTTTCTGATCATTTCATCTTGGAGTTGCTCTTGGTTATCATTGTTGATTTGACCATCAGCCTGTGCGTCCCTTTTTCTGATCATTTCTTCTTGGAGTTGTTGCTCCTGATTGGCGTTATTGTTTATTTGACCATTAGCCAGTGTGTCCCTTTTCTTGATTCTATCTTTTCGGGGTTTCTCCTGGTTGATGTTGATTTGGCCGTCAGTCTGTGTATTTCCTGTCGTACTAACTTCTTCTCGAGGCTGCCCTTGGTTAGCGTTGTTGTTTATTTGGCCCTCAACCTGTGTGTCCCTTTTCTTGATTCTATCTTCTCGGGGTTGCTCCTCGTTGCTGTTGATTTGGCGATCAGTCTGTGTGTTTGCTGTCGTACTAACTTCTTCTCGAGGCTGCTCTTGGTTGCTATTGAGGGTTATTTGACCATCAGTTTGTGTGTTTCTTTTCACTTTTCTTTCTCCCTGGAGTTGCTCCTGGTTGCCATTATTTATCGTTAGACCATTAGCCTGTGCATCAATTTTTTTGCTCATTTCCTCTCGGAGTTGTTCCTGGTTACCATTATTGTTTATTTGAGCATCAGTCTGTGCGTTCCTAGTTATTTCTTCTCGAGGTTGCTCTTGGTTGCTGTTGAAGTTTGTTTGACCATCAGCCTGTGCATCCCTTTTACTGATTTTTTCTTCTTGGATTTGCTCCTGGTTACCATTGTTGTTTATTTGACCATCAGCCTGTACATTCCTTTTACTGATTTCGTCTCCTTGGAGTTGCTCCTGGTTACCATTATTGTTCACTTGGCTATCGGCCTGTGTGTTCCTTTTCCTAATTTTTTCTTCTTGGGGTTGCTCCTGGTTTCCGTTATTTATTTGTTCACCAGCCTGTGCTTTTTCTCTTTGTTTCTGAAGCTGCTCCTGGTTATTGTTGCTCATTTGTCCTCCAGTCTCTGCCTTTCGTTTTTCTTCCTGAAGTTGCTCCTGGTCGTTTATTTGGGCACCAGCCTGTGCCTTTTTTATTTCTTCCTGAGGTTGCTCCTGGTTGTTAACTAGATCACTGGTCTTTGCCTTTCGTTTTGCTTCCTGAAGTTGTTCCTGGTTGTTTCTCATTTGACCACCAGCCTCTGCTTTTCTTTTTTCTTCCCGAACTTGCTCTTGATTACCCTTGTTTTGACTACCAACCTGTGCCTTTTTTGTTTCTTCCTGAATTTGCTCTTGGTTACCGTTGTTTTGACCACTAGCCTGCGCCTGTCTTCTTTCTTTCTGGGGTTGCTCCTGGTTGTTATTTAGTTGACCACCAGCCTGTGCCTTTCTTGTTTCTTCCTGAAGTTGCTTCTGGTTGTTCCTACTCATTTGACCATCAGCCTGTGCATCCCTTTTTACGGTTTTTTCTTCTTGGTGTTGCTCCGGGTTTTGATTGTTGCTCATTTGACCATTATCCTGTGCATCCCTTTTTACAGTTTTTTCTTCTTGGGGTTGCTCCTGGTTTTGGTTGTTGCCCATTTGGCCATCAGCCGCTGCGTCCCTTTTCTTGTTGGCGGTCAGATATTGAGTTTGGGTTGTTTGAAAACTGGCTTCGGAGTAAACTGGAGGTTGCGTGGTCGTCGAGTCAGATTTAGGGGTTGATGGAGGTTCTTCACTGTGTTTTTCAATTGCATTACGTTTTTCTTCCTGAAAAATGATACAGAGATTTTTTAGTTAGTGTTTCATAGTGTTGTTCTTTTTTCTTGTCTTGATAAAGGATAATTTTTACAGTTGCTCTAAAGTTTATAAATTTATTTACCATTTGTATCATGTGTTTCATTTGAGACAAAATTTTATTTCTTAGATAGAGGGCTCTGTGAACAGGGTCTAAGTCTGATGGAGAAGAAAGTGTTTGGGCTTTAGGCTCTGCAATGGGTATTGTCTCCAATCTTTTTTCTCTAATAATCTGTAAAAAAAATATCAAAAATATAAATAATACGCCATATGTTCATACTACGTTTCTCTCGAGAGCTAGAAGTTTTGCTTAACGTTCAGACATAACATATGTTTTATTATTATTTTTTTTTTTACCGGGGCAGGTGTATTAAGGGTGCTCTTATCAGGTACAGTCGGATTTTCACCAGGCATCAAAGTTCTTTTATTAGACAGGGCCGGATTTTCACCTGGCATCAGAGTTTTGTTTCGCCTTTCACGTTTTCCTTGGGTTCTTCTGTGATGGTGCTTGTGGTGCTTCCTATGGTGCCTTCTGAAACAAACGGGATAATTGATAATGAATTCTAGATTTTATTAAGGTAATATTATTACTAAGTCAACTCATGTATTCGTAAAACTTCTGAAAATTTGGGAAACTGCTAGGTACATCCCCGGACAGGTTTTTGCATATTTTGATTTGAACCACGTAGGGGGGGGTGGGCTGCCCCCAAGAACTTTTATTAATTTGGGGTGCAATTGTCATTTTTATATTTTTTTATAATGCATATACAAACCTGAAACACACATAACCCTAAATTTGCATCATCTTACCACAAACCCCTAATTGGTAAAAATTATTATAGTACTTACATTTTTCATCGTAATACTAAATATTTATATCTCTGATGAATCTTTTACAATTTATGTGGTAAAGATAAGTTTTTGAGTATTTTATATATCAAAATGTTGTAAATTACTCACACTGTGCTTGTACGTTTCGGTTTATCGCTCGAGGTGTCATCAGGACTTTTTTGTACGACATTTGTTTCCTTGGCTTTTTCTGGGTCAGGCTGGGCGGTCAGTGTGGTTTTTGCATTCTAAATAGGATAAATCATTTATATGATATATATTAACTCAATATTGAAATATCTATTTAGGCACATCAGTTATTCTTTCAATTTGCACACAAACAAACAAAATTGAATTTCTACGAACAGGCAATTACAAACTTTGAAGTTTTTTTTTTTTTTTAATTTTATTTGGCCTCGCTTACTCTGAGCATTTAGCCACCTACAACATTTTTATTTATTTACATTCTAATTTATATCATTTTCAATCTATTTATGTATCCTATTCTATATTCTTCTTAATTTTTCTTCTTATTTTCTTCAATTCTTGCTCTTTTTTTCAAATTTCTATTTCTATTTAACTTTCAGCTTTATTCCGATTTTTTCTTCATTCTTTCAAGTTCCAATATTCTTCTTCTTACTCCTAATTCAATTGAACTATTCGAATTCTGTTATTCCTAATTTTCTTAATTTTTATTCAAATTCTATTTAACAAGTACAATTTTTATTTGATTTCTACACATATTTTTTTTCATAAATTCTAAGTCATTGACAGGATCCGAAGATCCTTGTCGTGTGAATCGAACACGCTACCAAAGAGCTATGCTCGCCACATAAATTTTGTTTTTATACAATTAGGTCAGTTTCATCAACTTTTTATTTATTACTATTATTATATGATGTCGGATATGAATAATTTTAATTATTTTAATTGAAGATTTAACAATTTACCTTATTATCTTGAGGTGCAACTTCGTTACCAATTCCCTTGACTGTGGAAGAAGTTTCACCTTGCAAAGGTGAAGTGTCTTCCTCTGAAGCCGTCTAAATTATATAAAAAATCAGAATAATTTTTATAAAAATTATTATAAAACAAATATTTTGAATAACTATATAAACTTCTAATGCCATGCTACATTTATTTATTAACTACATGCAATCTATCATTAGAGTATTTTTTGATTACGTTTACACCTTGTAAACAATAAGAAAAAAGTAAATGAAAAGGTAAATTAAGTTAATAAAGTAATTTTGCAAGAGATAAATCCAACTATACCGATGAATATTTTTGACAAAATTGCAGATAAAAAATGTGACTTAATCTATTAAATTAATATGACATCAAAGAAACCTATGGATTTGGTATTGTAGTGTATTGCAAATATAAAATATAACTAGTTGGTATTGGTGTTTTGCCTTGAGGTATGTTACATGAACTTCCCTATATGTTTCCTACAGTTTCCCTAAATTAACGAACACTCTGTCGTTATACGAAGTAAATCGTCTAATTTCAATTTTAACAAACGTCAAAAAACTACTCATTTTTTCAAACTTTGATGAATTTTTAAAATAAACTACTTGTCGTACAACTTTCTCTATCATAAATTTTACCGTAACTTCTCTTATTTTGAAACGGCGAAGGGTTAAGGCCTGAAAGAAACACTGGTTGGACAGCCGCGCACTCTTAAAACAATCATAACTCTATCAATTTTTGTAAATATTGATAAAAATAATAAAATGCAATAATTAGCCAAAAAAAAATCTTGAATTTTTATCTATATACCTTTATAAGTATTCTTTCAGGGATATAATAATGAGAAATAGGTTGTGTCTGTTTAATTTTTTTTATGAAATCATAAGTTTTTTAAAAACCATTTGTACTAAAGTTGTAGAATTTTCTAATCTATCATCATTCTAATCGATCTCCAAGACCAAGATAATTCTAGATGAAATACAATTATTTTTAATTTTGGTGGAAATGGCACTTATAAACTATTTGATTTAAATGAAACAAACATTGTATGCGTCTTTTATTTGCATGATAGGTTACTCATTTTACATGCAGAAATACTTATTTTAAAGCTTATTTTGAGGACTATAAAACCCCATTTTTATATCTAGGTTAATATTGTTCCTAGACCACTATTTATTAAGATTTTAATTTATATAATTTTGTTCATTATTTTCGTTAAAATGTATATGATATTAGCAAAGAGGCCGAAATATTTTAGTAAGTTCTATAAGATCATGATATATATCACCAAAAAGTGCGATAAAAATCGGCTTAAATTTTTTTTCAACTACTACTTTTTAACTACAAGAAAATGGCTCGGTAGATTTTCACCAAAAACTAATCAGTATCATTCCCAACTAATATCTTTCGAACAGTTTTTGATTTTTTAAAATCGATTCGGTAGTATGAGCCTAAATGTGGACAAAAAGTTTAACACTTTTTTTCAAATTACAAAGAAATGGCTTGGCAGATCGTCGCACAAAACTGACAAACGATAGTCGTCATTGAGATACATTAAATCGCTTTTAAATTTCTGAAATCGGTTCAGCCGTTTTTGAGAAAACGTCGATCAAAGATCTAATTCTGACAAATGCCAAAAAAACGATACTAATTTTAACAAACTTTGACGAATTTTTAAAGCTAAACGAGTTGTCGTAGGGTCGTAATATTTTAGTATAACCTATAAGACTATGGTATCTACATTAAAAAAATCATTGAAATCGTCAAAAAAATTGTTTAACACTTTATTACAAGAAAACGGCCGAGCCGATTTTTACCTAAAACTAATCAGATCGATTCCCAACCAATATCTTTCGAACGATTTTTGAATTTTCAAAATCGATTCAGAATTGCGGGCTAAAACGTGGACGAAATTTTTTTCACTTTTCTGCTATTTACGAAGAAAGTGCTTGGCCGATCGTCGCACAAAACTGACAAACAATAGTCCTCATCGAGATACATCGAGTGGCTTTTAAATTTTTGAAATGGGTCCAGCCGTTTTTGAGAAAACGTCGATTTACGGCAAAAAATCTGTTCACACACACATATACTTTTTCCAAATTTGGTCTGATTCGATTCAGAATGGCTTCAAACGTCGAAAAAACATAAAATTAGCGAATCGGATTTTTTTATGAAATCATAAACTTCTCCTTCGGGAAGTTAATAAAAAATTTCTTAATTAATTTAGTTATTGTTTTACGAGATATTTTATAAAAAAACACGCGAATATATTGGTGCAGTTCCAGGATGTCGTTGCAAACTATCAGGACTAGAATTTTAAACGTTAGATTGGTTCCTATAAAAAAAAGTGTTTTATCCCACCTCAACAAGTTCAGAATTCTCATCCTCATCCTTGTCCTCCACTGCCGCAACCACCAGTGGCGGCGTGCGGTTCTCCGCCGACACCAGTTGCCCCGTTGCAGAAGACGTTTCCGCAGTTCCTCCAGTGGGCGTCGTCTCACTTTTAGGGGGCGTAGAAGCGGATGCAGGAGCCAGGAAGGTCGAAGTGGCCGAAGAGGTTGGTGTAGGGTTGCTATCGGTAATGGTTTCGAGAGTGGTAGTTGAGGGTAAGGTCGTCGTGATCATCGGGGTCCTGGCTCGGGCGTACATGGTTGGCAGTTGGGCGCCGGCGCCATCGTTGAGACGCTGGCCGAGGTTGGGAGATGGGAGGACAAACAGGGCTGGAAGGGAAAAGATACAATATGAAAATTATATGTTTTTTTTTTTAATTTATTTATTTCACTTATATTAGTTTATACATACATATTTCTAAACAATTTATATAATCATGTATAACTATCCTAAGATATAAATACATAAACTTATATTTAATACTAACTAATGAAAAAGTAAATCTTCTGTATATATATAAAAATATGCCGGGTTTTCCTTGCTGACGAAATAACTCTAAGTAACTGAACGCACGAACCGATATAATAACTGAAGTAACTGAACGCACGAACCGATTTCGCCAATTTTGCATTCTTTGGGAAGGTCTCGGGCTCCGCAAGGTTTATAGCTAAGAAAATTAGTGATGCTCGGCATCGTGCCTTAATGCCAATTGCTGGAACTTTACGAACCGTAATTAGAAATTTGAGTAATGACATTAGTGAGAATTATCAGAATTATGCTTGGTTAAGTCAACGAGCAATTCTTGCCGCAAAGAATAGTAATGTACACGCACTGAATTTCACCATTCAATCAAAAATTGCTGGCGATTTGGTGACATGCCAATGATTCCGTCTAGTCTTCCGTTTGACTTCAAACGATTGCAATTTCCAGTTCGCCTAGCGTTCGCAATAACAAGTCGCAAGGCCAATCGCTTAGTGTTTGCGGGATAAATTTCAAATAGATTATTTAGAAAATCATTGTTTTTCACATGAGCCTGTGAGTTATACGAGTTGGAAAACCATCCGCTTTGTTTGTGTTAACGTCAGACCAAAAAACAAAAAATGTGGTTCACCAAAGCGCACTTTAATGAAACGGATAATTTGCGGATTCACTTTCATTTACTTAGAGAAGTTCAACTAAAAAACACTTCGATTTTTGTAATCGAAATAAATGCATTACTGTTGTGTAATAAAATCAAATTTTTCCTTTTCAAATATAAAACAAACAAAAAATTTCTTCATCTTTCTCACGAAACCATCTGGTGGCGAAACGGAGTTCGTCGGGTTTGCTAGTATATATATATATATATATATATATATGTGTGTGTGTGTGTGTGTTAGTTATGAACAATACAACTCAGATTTATAACACGTACTTTATTTGATAACTACAGACGTTTCGAGACCATGGTATGCATAATCTTCAGTGTAATTGCATAAACAGTTACTTATATAATACACATTATTTAATATTTTATTTAAATACATTATAATAATACCCATCCTGTCTCTATCTAGATGCTTAAGAAATGTGTAGAATATTTCTGTAAGTGTCATGTTTTTTAGTACTGATTCTCAAGCATTGCAAGGAATAGTTGGTGTTTTTTGTATATCAAAAATTAAATGTAATTTAAATAAAATATTAAATAATGTGTAGTATATAAGTAACTGTTTTTGAAATTACACTGAAGATCAGGCATACCATGGTCTCGAAACGTCTGTAATTATTAAATAAAGTTTGTGTTAAGAATCTGAGTGTTGTATTGTTCATATTTAACATTTAACATATATTTATATAGATATAAATATACAAGTTATTAATTATCAAACTATATTATATTACTGTATAAAGCCGATTGGCGTATAAATAAACAAAATAAATAAATAAATAAATATATATATACATAAATAATAATTATATGAGTTAGAGCGGGGCTTGAAAGTCTACGGCTAAAAAAATCCACCACCAATATCTCAAAAACGAATTTCGAAACGAAAAAGTTAGGAATATTGTAACAACAATTATTGTAAGTAGAGGGCAAAAGATGTACACTCAGCCAAGACCTTGATTCTTACGACGTTGCTATCAGGAAATAAACTGCATTGTTTGAAAATCCAATACAGAAGTATTTTCTGTCGTTGTTGGTTTTTTGGTTGTGAGCACCGTTGTTTAGTTTACCAGACCTTAACATAATTTTTAAGTATGTGTTATTAAATTATTTTATAAGATATATTGTTAGTTTTAAGTTAAATTCAACAGTTTTTTTATAAAACTTCTCGATTTTTCATTTTTTAGCAATTGATAGAAAATTTAATATATCTTTAGCAAATAAATAGAATATCAAATATACGACTAAACTCGCGAATTTTATATGGAGGCACTTTTTTGAGTTAGATATCCAGAAATTAGATACAATTCACTACTATTCCATGCCAAGAGTTATATACATTCCGATATAAAAGTTTTGAATAAAAAGACTTTGAATTCGATTTTTCATTCTTAAGCAAATTCAGTATCTTCAGCAAATGAATAGAATAAATATTCAAGTATATTTTTATTACCCATTACAGCCATAAACAAAAATACTTTCCTAATAATTATAATTAATAAAAATATTCAAAAATATTGTTACTCCTCATTAATATTCCAAACAAATTTACTTTTCTCCAAAACAAGTTATTAAAATAAAAATCAACTTCCTCACAAATAGTATATGAAAATATTAAAAACCAATATTCTTAAATTTATATTTCACCTAGTTATTCAAACTTAAGATTTATATAATTGTTAATAATATTTAACTAAATGTATAACTTTTATTGGACAAATTCACTTTTCTCTAAAACAAATTATTAAAAAAAAGTCAATTTTGTCACAAATGGTAGATAAAAACATTAAAAAAAATCATAATAATAACCATAATTTTCAAATTGATATTGTACTTAGTTATTCATACTTTATATTCATTTAATCATTAATAATTGTTAACTAAATGTATAAAAACTTGTATTAAACTATATTAACTATTGACACTATTAACTATTGACACTATGAACTATAAAAACTTCACTGATAATATAATAAAAACAAACAGTGAAAATTTATAATAATATCCATTTAGTAAATCTATTTATAATTAATTGTATGCTCAAATTATTCATAAATATTTAATTATTAATAATAATTAGCTTTAGGCATAACTTTCATACAGTCACAAATGATATATAACAAAAACTAATAATAATAATAACCATAATTTTTGATATTTTACCTATTTATTCATACTTTATATCTATTTAATCGTAAATAAAATTTAACTAAACGTATAATAACTTTTATTAAACTATATCAACTATTGACACTATGAACTTTGAAATTTTCCCTAATGATATATAAAAACATACAGCAAAAAATTGGAATAATATTTATTTAATAATTCTATTAGTTAATTAAATTCATGTTTAAAAAATTATACTTTATATTTATATACCCGAAATATTATATAACTAAATATATAACTTTTAATGAACTATATCAACTATTGACACTATCAACTATCGACACTATTAACTATTGACACTATAAACTATAAAAACTTCACTAATGACTATATAAAAACAAACTGCAAAAATTTGTAATAATATCCATTTAATAATTCTATTAGTAGTTGAATAAATTCATATTTAAAAAATTATTTAATTATATATTAAAAATATTTAATTATTATCAGAATTCAGCTTCAGGCATAACTTTCATACAAAAATTCATGGCAAAATAAGATGGAACTCTTTAATAATTATTGTTATCGAGTATTGGATGACAGGTTGACTTTTATAATATATTATACTATATATATATATATATATATATATATATATATATATATATTTATTTATTATAATTTATATCATCTTACCTATTATCAAGCCCTGTATGAGCCTCCCAGCTCTAAGCTGCCACATCGCCTTTTCTTTCCAATTATTATAAAAATTATTTTTAATTGTTTATAATTTTGAATCGTTCACTATTACTCAAACTTCTTACTTCACTAATTATTTATGCGATATAAAAGAAATTGGTGAATAACTTTTAAAAAACATCGAATCGTGAAATATTTTTAGAATAATTTTCAAAACGTTTGCACCGCATAAATACAGATTCGATATTGTTAGTAGAAAAAATTGAAATGGATACTAGATTGAGGGATTTTTTGTTTTGGTTTGGTTTATTTTGGAAGAAGTTGGCTTTGGTTAAATGACATAATAAATTAAATCAGTAGGATTTAAAAAAATTTTTTTGTCATTTTAATATTTGTCATCAATTGGTAAATGTAAGCTCTGATTTGCTAATAATATTATTTTAGTTAGATTTCTGTTTAGTTTTACACCGAAATTTTAATTTATTGTCTACATAATTTTTTGAGAACCAAATAGTATGAAACTAGTTGTAAGTGGCATCGTGCTTTAAAGCAAGTGGCATTAAGTTTTATACACTTACTTTCTTCTTTAGCAAAAAGCAAAAATTTTTTTTTTATTTTTGAAATATTTTTATCTAAATATAGAAATCTAAATTTTGTTTGATTAAGTCAATTCGGGAAGTTCAAGCAACTTGCCTCAAGGCAAAATGCCACTTTCAACTAGTTTTGATTGCGGTTTAGAAGGAAATATAATAAATGTTACAGTATTTTTAAATTATATGAAATAATATAAATTTAATCCTAATTCTTTTTACATATTACGCCTGAATATATAAATTTTTTATTTGTTCTTAGATAGCACTAACATTTCATTGATTTACACCAAAATATATTGTTTAAAACGATTTTTTAAATAAATTTCTTCAAAACTATCATTCAAAACATTCCAGAAAAAAAATTATTTAATTTTTTTTATTTATAATATTGTTACCTCTTTGAAGGCAAAAAACAAGAAGAACAAGATTTCTATGGACCTTTCAAACTTTTTACAAAAAAAGCTAGATTTAAGGCAAAATGCCACTTTAAACTAGTTTTAAATAAAATATTTATAAATGTTAAATTTTTTCAAGTTGTTAAAATTGTAATATAAATTTATTCGAAATTCATTTTGCACATTACGCCTGAATGATATATTACAAGTTTTAATTTCTTTTTGTATATAACATTAAATTTTGTGGCTCTACAACATTGTAAGTTCTTTAAATTTTATTTTAAATAAATTTCTTTAAAACTATCATTTATTATAGCTTTACATCTAAAATTCCAGAAGAAATCTTATTCAAATTATTTGATTTATAATATTGTTGACCCTTCAAAGGCAAAAGAGCAAAAAGAACAAGATTTCTACGGACCCTTCAAACTTTTTGCACAAGACCTAGATAATTATTGCCTTAAGGTAAAATGCCACTCTCAACAAGTTTTGGTTGCAGTTTGAAAGGAAATATATATAAATGTCATAATTATTTTAAATTGTTGAAGTTGTAATATGAATTGAATTGAAATTCTGCTTGCATATTACACCTGAATGATATATTTCACTTCTAATTTTATCTTTATTTTGTAGATAGCACTAGCATCTTATTGTTCTACATCATTATATGTTTCTTAAACACTTTTTCTCTGAATAATTTTTCCTAAAACTGTCTAAAAATTTAGAAGCAATATTATTCCAATTATTTCCAATTATCTATATTTAATTTATAATATTTTGTTGCCCTTTCAAAGGCAAAAAAGCAAGAACAAGATTTCTATGGACCGTTCAAACTTTTCACGCAAAAGCTAGATAATTTTTTAATAATGAAATCAAAGGTTTTCAAAATAAATTTCTGTAAAAGTATCATTTATTATGGCTTTACACCTAAAATTCAGAAGAAATCTTATTCCAAATATTTTATTTATAATAATGTTGTCCTTTCGAAGGCAAAAAACCAAGAAAAACAAGATTTCTTTGGGCCGTTCAAAAATTTCATAAACGCTAGATATTTTTTTATGAATAAATCAAAGGTTTTTACAAATAATCTATTACCTTTATTTAATTAATTACCTTTTTTTTGTTCGATAATCAGAACATTTAGGAATTTGTGGAATTCGTGGAACTAGTAAGAAAAAAATAACTAATGTCTTGACTTATCATTTTATAAAAATGCATTTTTTGGTGTAGTTTCCAAGCATTTTCCAAAAACTTTAGGCATTTGTAATTTTTGGGTCCAGGTTTATTTTTAAGAATCGCTATTTATTTTCTTCCAATTTTCCATTAAACTTTTTTGGGTACACATTACGTTAAAAAATGGACATAAAATACATAAAATGTACATATTTTATCGAATTTTTGAATTATCAAAATTTTCGAAGTTTTTCTTCAAAAAATCAGACCTAACCACACATACTTAGGTAAGAAGTTGTAGCAAGTTTTCATCAGCTTCCAGCAAGTTTTCATTATCTAATATTTTTTATGAGGTTGTGTATGCCACTTACCACTAGTTTTCTGTATTTTTATGATAATATGTAGTAAAAATCAGCATTTGCATGCCAGTTGGCATTTAATTTCAGAGCACTCGTAACTTTTTATCGGTTTTGCCG